GAGAGAGAGAGAGAGAGAGAGAGAGAGAGAGAGAGAATGTGTTTGTATGTGTGAGTGTGGGGTGTACTGATGTGTGTGTGTGGGGGGTGTATGTGTGTGTGTATATATATATCTATCTATCTATCTATCTATCTATCTATCTATCTATCTATCAATCAGTAGTCGCACCTGCACCGTAAACATCACTAATAACTCACTACAACACCTGTGACTTAATACCCGCAAGTGTATCGCGGAGCCTCACCTTTGGACGCTTCCTTAATTAACACCACCACACCTGTTCTGGGCTGATGGTGTTAATTACACATCTGTAACTCACCTGTACACCTGTTAATCACCCGTGTGTCACCCCACTGTACCCTGGCCACCCCACTGTATTCCACCCTGAGGCGGGAGAGGTGGACGGGGTCGCTGGTGTCCACAGTAACGAACAGGATATTGGGATGGTTTATGTATGGTTCTGTGTGTGTCGAGTCAGTACCCCCTCCACCACAACCCTCCATCTACACCCCTCTCTCCATCTACACCCCCTCACCCCTCCCTCCACAACCCCTCACCCCTCCTCCACCCCCCTCACCCCTCCCTCCCACACCCCCTCCACCCCTCCCTCCACACCCCTCACCCCTCCTCCACACCCCTCCACCCTCCCTCCACACCCCCTCACCCTCCCTCCACACCCCTCACCCTCCCTCCCACACCCCCTCACCCCTCCCTCCACACCCCTCACCCCTCCCTCCACACCCCCTCACCCCCCTCCCTCCCACCCCTCACCCCTCCCTCCACACCCCTCACCCTCCCTCCACCCACAACCCTCCTCCTCCCTCCACCCACAACCCCCCCTCCACCCCTCCCTCTCCATCCTACCCCCCTCACCTCTCCCTCCACACCCTCCCTCTCCCTCCACACCCCCTCACCCTCTCTCCACCCCACAACCCCTCACTCCTCCCTCCACCCCACAACCCCCCCTCCACACCCCTCACCTCTCCCTCCACCCCTCACCCCTCCCTCCACACTCCCTCACCCCACCCCTCACCTCCCATCGACGTCTCTCTGACCTGCCTGGCGGATGTTGTTGGAAGAAAAATCAACAACAACGTCGATTGGTTCTCATTTGGTCACTCACTCACCCAGTCAGTCAGAGAGATAGAGTTAGGAGTTTTATTAATAGTATATAGGTCTTAGTGTGTGTGTGTGTGTTTTGTGTGTGGTCGGTCTTGCTTACATAAACGTATATAGAAATTGTTTTATTAATATCTTGTACTGTTGAGGGTTACTTACTTTATATAATTAGTGATTAGTTTTATATTGATCTTTACGTCCGTCTGTCTGTACGTCTGTTCCTTCACAATTCCGGGACCACTCAAGCAACTAGTTTATATTTGGTTGTGGTAGTGTAGTGAACTTTTTGTGTATATGTCTGTCTTTCTGTCTCTTTTCTTTCTTTCTTTCTTTTTTTCTTTTTTTCTTTTTTCTTTCTTTCTTTTTCTTTCTTTTCTTTCTTTTTTTTCTTTTCTTTTCTCTTTTCTTTTCTTTTTTTTTTTCTTTTCTTTCTTTTTTTTCTTTTTCTTTTTCTTTTCTTTTCTTTTTTTCTTTTTTTTCTTTTTTTTTTTCTTTCTTTTTTCTTTTTTCTTTTTCTTTCTTTCTTTTCTTTCTTTCTTTTCTTTCTTTTTGTATGATGGTCTGTGTTTCATTATCTGTCTATCTGTTTCATATCGGCCGTCAAAAAATTCCGTGTCCGTTCAGTAATTTAATATCCTTTTGGTCATATCTGTCTGTCTCGGTTTAAATGTCTGTCTGCTTATCTATGCCTTTCTGTCGAATTATATATATATATTTACTTATCTATCTATATCTCATTTTAAAAACCCATCTGTCAACCTTTTAATTTTAAGTACCTACCTGTCTTGTTTTAAATATCCACCTGTCTCTTTAACCACCCACCTGTCTAATCACCAATCTTACCGTCAAAAAACTCACATGTGTCCTCAGTAACCAGTCAACCATTTAATTGAGTCGTCACCACCACCACGTAAGGCACTATGGGATCTGGTGTCTAATGTTTACGTGTTGGGATCTGGTGTCTATGTTTACGTGTTGGGATCTGGTGTCCAATGTTTACACGTGTTGGGATCTGGTGTCTAATGTTTACACGTGTTGGGATCTGAGTCTATGTTTCCGTGTTGGATCTGAGTCTAATGTTTCCACGTGTTGGGATCTGTGTTTGTGGTTGTTGTTTGTCCAATGTTTCGTGTTGGGATCTGGTGTCCATGTTTACGTGTTGGGATCTGGTGTCTAATGTTTACACGTGTTGGGATCTGGTGTCCAATGTTTACACGTGTTGGGATCTGGTGTTCAATGTTTACACGTGTTGGGATCTGGTGTCTAATGTTTACACGTGTTGGGATCTGGTGTCTAATGTTTACACGTGTTGGGATCTGGTGTCTAATGTTTACACGTGTTGGATCGGTGTTCAATGTTTAACGTGTTGGGATCTGGTGTTCTTTCACGTGTTGGGATCTGGTGTCCAATGTTTACGTGTTGGGATATGGTGTCTAATGTTTACACGTGTTGGGATCTGGTGTCAATGTTTACACGTGTATGTACATTAGTACTGGTGTGTTTAGTGTGTTTATGAGTGGAATAATCTGACGTGTGTTTGACCTTTACTCTTATAACCTGCCTGAAGGGTTAATAATTATTCCCTGTAAGGTAAATGTTAGGTTAGGTTAGTCTTGGGTTAGGTTAGGTTAGTCTTGGGTTAGGTTAGGTTAATGTTAGGGTTAATGTTTAGTTGTAGTGGTTAGTGGTTTAGTGAATGTTGTAGGTAGGTATTGGGAATTTATTTGTATTTTTATTATTGTTGTTATTATTATTATTATTATTATTATTATTATTATTATTTATTGTACGATGTTGCTTTGAGGTAATTTTAAGTAATTTGGAATGTTATAGTCAATATTTTACACACACACACACACACACACACACACACACACACACACACACACACACACACACACACACACACACATTAAAAAAATATAAAAACCAGGAAAATAAAAAATAATAAAAATAAAAAATAAACAGCTAACCAGGATCGAGTGACGTCATTACCCCAGCAACCAATACTATTTTGTCTCAGTCGTCCAGCGTCCGCCAGCCAGCTCCACCTTCCACCACCTTTACCTGTAGCTGTGACGTCAACCAAACGGCTTAATCAATCCCGACCTACGTAACAACAACAACAACAGTAATAATAATAAACTATGCTGACACCAGGATGAACTAGGTGTGTGTGTGTGTGTGTGTGTGTGTGTGTGTGTGTGTGTGTGTGTGTGTGTGTGTGTGTGTGTGTCCGGTTTGTCATCATTATCTATTTCACGAATAAAATAAAAATAGCACAACCGGATCCTCCTCCTTCCCCTTCCCCCTCCTTTCTCCTCCCCTTCCTCTTCATTTCCTTCTCCCTTCTCCCTCCTTCACCCCTTCCTTTCCTCCTCCCGTCCTTTATTTCTACCCTCCTTTCCTCACCTCCCCCTTTCTCCTCCCCCTTCCCTCCTTCATTCTCCTTCTCCTCCCCTCCCTTCACCCCTTCCCTTTCCTCCTCACCTCGTCCCTTTTCCCCTTATTTCCCCTACTCATCTTTCCTCACCTCTCCCCTCCTTCCCACCCTCCCCTCCCAAGATAGCAGCATGTCTCACCTGACGAGAGATATAAATTAACTTAACTGATCTACAAAGGATGGTATTATTGTCCTCCCGTCTCCTCCCGTCTCTCTATATTATACAGTATGTACGGTATAGGATATATCATGGTGGTAAGTTATATAGGATCCTGGTATATAAGATTTCAACCTATATTTTACCTATATTTTCCCTTGCTATATTAGTTTTTTTCCTTCGGTGTCATCCATCTTGTGTCATCCAACTTGTAGTGTCACCTATTTCGTGTCATCCATCCTTAGGTGTCATCCATCTTGTCGTGTCATCCTAGTCGTCACGTCTCGACATTAAAACAGTTGTTGTTGATGACGTGGGAATGTAATTATATTTTCGTGGTTAAGCCGACTGTGGGGGGGGGGGTATTTTCCCACACACACGGGGTAGAGCCTTGTGCTTCGCCTCATCGATCTTGTGGTAGAGGTAGTGCCCTCCTTCCTCTTCCTCCTCCCTCGGTTACCCCCCGCCGCCTCCTCCTCCTCCTCCACATATTTTGTCAGCTGGCAAACCTCGCCCTTGTGCTAGCTATTGTAAGACCATGTAGGTGGAATAGGCGTGGGTTTGGTTAGGTTAGGTTGAGTTTGGTATTCTTAAAGACACTGATAAACCAACAAGACTCCACATATCCTGTTGAGACTTAAGACTTTTGTTTTTGTTTTGTTGTTGTTGTTGTTGTTGTTGTTGTTGTTGTTGTTGTTGTTGTCGTTGTCTAGTTGATGCTGGAATCTGTCTGCTCCTGGAGGTGATGTTAACCGAGGCTACAGGAACACCCACTGACTCACTGACTGTAACTGTGTATACGAGTGGTGGCCATAGGGACGACAGTTAAGAGTGGTGTCATACTAGACTGGTGACATGGGCTGGGGACTGTAGGCATGACACCACCACCTAACCACACCTTCACCTCTTTTTCCTGTCACCTGCTAAGGCTTGTGGTGACCTGCTGTCACCTGGATTCATCGCTGACAGTGTTTTAACAAGTGGCTGATATGATGCCACAGTAGTTAAACTCGTCCATGTACAGTGAGTTAGGTCCCAGGGGGTAGTTAGTGGTACTGTTTTGTTCAGGGCAGCTGTGACTGACTCTTTTAATTAAGATATAGAGTACAGGTGAGTCAGGGCTTACGTGGGGGGGGGTTGCTTGGTTCAGGGCAGCTACAACTTACTTGATCCTTTTGGTTGGGATGTAGAGGACAGGTGAGTCAGGGCCCAGTGAGTAGTAAAAGGGGCTTTGTTCAGGGGAGTTGAGATAACCCATTTGATCCATGGTGTGGCGCAGAGGTGATGGTGGTGTGCAGGAGCCAGGTGATGGTCTCCATGACAACAGATAAAGGTGTGTGTGTGTGTGTGTACACGCCAGAACACCTGTGGCGGGTTATTACCGGGTGGCTGATGGGGTTCCTGCTTCATCTGGGGCGTGGCACCTTCAGTAGTCATGGATCTTCGCCCCTCTGTTAGCCTCCTAGGGATTATGATGCCCTCCCCAGCCCCTTCTAAATCGCTAACCCAAGATGCAATATAAAGATGGCGTCGTATTTGCGCCAGGGACTATATCTCACCCCTGTTGTATTTTCTCGTTCTCTCAGTAGGGAAAAAAACACCTTCGCACACAGGGGGGGGGGTGTCACTTTCTACAGCACTGAGGCATAATGATTTCAGTGTTTATGATATATTGTGAGGGAAGGGGGGCGTGGTGTTGGGGGGTAGGGGGGACGTGGTGGTCTTGGAGAGGGGGGAGGGGTTGTAGTGTTGGAGAAGGCTAGGGGTACGTTGTGGTAGTGTTGGGGAGCCCAGAATTAAAACAAAATAAAACAAAACAATAAAACATTCCTAAGTTAATCGTCCTCCCCCCATAGAGGAAGGTCTTTTAAAACACTCACCTCACCCACTACCTGATTCAAGACGTGACAAGATGGCCGCCCAAAACAATGCCAATACTCCGCTTGTGGTCCCACTGTAGTCCCACTGTACAAGATATTAGAGTTAGAATCATCGTTAATTTAGTCTTTGTAGTGTGGGAGTCCTGCATCACGTGAGGGGATGTTGTTATGTCTGGGTTGTGTTGTGGAGGGGTTGATGATGGCTGCAGGTAAATCCCACTTACGAGTATTACATTCTGGTGCGGTAGAAAGTAATTAATTAGCAAGTGATTTAAGGTGTCTCCAGCAGGGCAGGTGTAAGAGGGGTATTGTTGTTGTTTGTGTCACAGGTGTGTTTGTTTACCTGTGCTGATGGTCGAGTAATTAGTTGGTTAATTGACGTTGGAAGGGGGTAGGTGAGGAGAGGGGTGATAGTGGGTGGGGAGCAGAGGGGTGATGGGGGATGGGTGAGAGAGGGTGATTGTGAGGGGGAGGAGAAGAGTGAGGGAGGGATGGGAGTTAGGGTAGGAAGGGGTGTGGGAAGGGAAGGAGAGGGATGAGGGTAAGGGTGGAGAGGGTTAAGGGAAAAGGAGAGGGGTAGCAGTGTCCAGGGGCGGCGTGAGAGCCTCGGGGGACACGCACTGCTACACAAGACTTTCTCCTCACTCTTGTGGTCAGGACGAGCCTCTCCCGGTCCAGCATGTTTCAGTGACTGCAAGTTTTAAGTGGCTCCTAATGAGGTCCTTCGCCCCCTCCCTCCCCCCCCCACTCCTCTCCACCTCCCGTTCCCTCCCCACCGCACTCCCCTCACCTCCCCACCTCCCGTTCCCTCCCCACTCCTCTCACCTCCCCCCTTCCATCTCCCCTTCCTTCCCTTCTCCCCTCCCTAGGTACACCCCACAAGGAGAGGCGCCACCACCGTGATAGTTTAAACCATTTGACAATGATGGTTTAACCCTTTGACGATTCTGAGTTTATTCTGAAAGATACATGGGGTGGGGGGGTAAAACATTTTGTCTGGTAAACTGTACAGCATGTTGCCTGGTCCAGACGGTCTCTCAGTGAGGGAAGGGAGGCGTTGGATGGATTATTTTTCCCCCATCGAGGGTTGGTACTCTGAGGGCGCCAGGTGGTCACTGTTCCCACGGGCCTCACCTGTGAATAGCAACACACCTACCTCGGCCTACACAACCTTCCCCGGCCTGTAGCTACCTCGCCCTGCACAACCTCCCCCGGCCTACACAACCTTCCCTGGCCTGCACAACCTTCCTCGGCCTACACAACCTTCCCCGGCCTGTACCTACCTCGGCCTACACAACCTACCTCGGCCTGCACAACCTTCCCCAGGCCTGTACAACCTGCCCCGGCCTACCCCCGCCTGCACCTGTCTCGTCCTACACCTTTCCCGGCCTACACAACCTTCCCCGGCCTGTACCTACCTCGGCCTACACAACCTTCCCCGGGAGGTGAAGGGGCAGGGGAGGGGGGGGGGGACTGGCACCAACGCGGGAGAAATTGTTTGGCTTCGTTCCCTCACCACCAGCAACGTCTGCCACCGAGTCTGCCACCGCTGCCTGGGATTAGGTAACTGCCTCCTCATCCGTGTGTGTGTGTGAGTGCGTTCGTTCCCTGCAAGTCCAATTATAGTAACGGGTGGAAGAGAAGGTAGATAACGGGAAGGAAGGGGAAAGGGAGGGAAAGGTAAATGAAGGGAAGGGAAAACGTTGGGAAAGGTTTGTTGGAGAGGTAGGGAAAAGTATTGAACGGAGGAGGGGAGAGTACAGTGGGGTTGGCCTGTGTGTCACCGGCCCCTTACTGGCAGATTCATGGTCTTTAAATTAACTAGGTTAGGTTTTGGTTAGGGTAGGTTAGGTTATTATCTCGGGGGAATAATGAAGCACTCAGGATATAAAACACTTCTCTGTAATTATACACCTGAAGACACTCTAAATTGGAATCTCATTTAAACCAGGTTAATTAGTCCCCCACACCTGCCGTCTCCACCAGCACTATACACCTGAGTTAATTAACCTGCCCTCCCCACCAGGTAAGATGATGATGTCAGGTTTTATAATACTTCAGGTGAGAACTCAGGCTTATAGTGTTGTGTGTCTGTCTGTCTCTTAAGATAATGGGTTAATTCAGTCGTAGTCAGGATGGGTTGTGTTACGTTTGTAGTCCGGTAATAGTGTCCATCTTACGTTTGTAGTCCGGTAATAGTGTCCATTTTACGTTTGTAGTCCGGTAATAGTGTCCATCTTACGTTTGTAGTCCGGTAATAGTGTCCATCTTACGTTTGTAGTCCGGTAATAGTGTCCATCTTACGTTTGTAGTCCGGTAATAGTGTCCATTTTACGTTTGTAGTCCGGTAATAGTGTCCATTTTACGTTTGTAGTCCGGTATTCATCTCCAGGTTGCTCATTGTCCTCAGTATGCAATTGCAATGACCAACTACAACAGGGTGTCACAGTAAGGGTGGTGTGGTGTACAGGGTGTTGCAGTAGGGGTGGTGTGGTGTACAGGGTGTTGCAGTAGGGGTGGTGTGGTGTACAGGGTGTTGCAGTAGGGGTGGTGTGGTGTACAGGGTGTTGCAGTAGGGGTGGTGTGGTGTACAGGGTGTTGCAGTAGGGGTGGTGTGGTGTACAGGGTGTTGCAGTAGGGGTGGTGTGGTGTACAGGGTGTTGCAGTAGGGGTGGTGTGGTGTACAGGGTGTTGCAGTAGAGGTGGTGTGGTGTACAGGGTGTTGCAGTAGGGGTGGTGTAGTGCAGGTGTCGTGAGAAGAGGTATTAGCTGAGGATTATACTGTGTGTGTGTGTGTGTGTGCGTGTGCGTGTGCGCGCGTGCGTGTGCGCTGCCAACTATCGATGCCAACCTCAACCTCTTAAATAGTGGCACTAATACCCACCACCTGCCTTGACACCTGGCACGTGTCCTCCTCCAGCTGACACCTGTCATACACGTGGGACAGTGCCCGTGGGGGGGACTTTCTCTTCTTCCTCCTCCTCACGTGTGTGGTTGGCAGGCCCCCTCACCCCGCAGTACAGGGCCTCGCTGCTATCAATAGAGTGAAGAAGCTGAACTGAAGTGAACTGGATTTTGAGAGGAAACTAGTGAATATCTCTCTCTCTCTCTCTCTCTCTCTCTCTCTCTCTCATACCTGTCAACTGTATTTTTCTCACTAATGTTATCTTTTATCTTCAATATAATGATTATGTAATGATTTTTTTGAAACATTTTATTTCCTCGTGATGTTTAAATGTTCTTTTTATTTTGATGTTTGGGAAATGTAAATCTCCCAGTGTTAAAATCTGATGGCATCTCTGTTGACAAGTGTAGGGGGTAAGGTCGTGTCAGGGTGTGATTGATAGTGCCAGTCACGTGCAGGGTTGGCGTTATGGTCATGTCGATAATGGCACACAGTCCTCTGATAGTGCCACTCTCGCGCAGATAAGTGCCAAGCTCAGCTGATATGCCCCTCACGTAACTGGAGATGTGGCACTGGTTAGCTTAGGTTAATATAGTGCCAATTTGGTTTATACCGAGTGCCATGATTAACTACGTGTGTGGTAGTTGAGTGCCATGATTAACTACGTGTGTGGTAGTTGAGTGCCATGATTAACTACGTGTGTGGTAGTTGAGTGCCATGATTAACTACGTGTGTGGTAGTTGAGTGCCATGATTAACTATGTGTGTGGTAGTTGAGTGCCATGATTAACTACGTGTGTGGTAGTTGAGTGCCATGATTAACTACGTGTGTGGTAGTTGAGTGCCATGATTAACTACGTGTGTGGTAGTTGAGTGCCATGATTAACTACGTGTGTGGTAGTTGAGTGCCATGATTAACTACGTGTGTGGTAGTTGAGTGCCATGATTAACTACGTGTGTGGTAGTTGAGTGCCATGATTAACTACGTGTGGTAGTTGAGTGCCATGATTAACTACGTGTGTGGTAGTTGATGCCATGAATTCGCTTCGTATTATTGGTAGTTGGTACCATGATTCTTGCGTGTGTGGTAGTTGAGTGCCATGATTAACTTCTACGTGTGTGGTAGTTGAGTGCCATGATTAACTACGTGTGTGGTAGTTGAGTGCCATGATTAACTATGTGTGTGGTAGTTGAGTGCCAATGATTAACTACGTGTGGTAGTTGAGTGCCATGATTAACTACGTGTGTGGTAGTTGAGTGCCATGATTAACTATGTGTGGTAGTTGAGTGCCATGATTAACTATGTGTGGTAGTTGAGTGCCATGATTAACTACGTGTGTAGTTGAGTGCCATGATTAACTACGTGTGTGGTAGTTGAGTGCCGCGATTAACTACGTGTGTGGTAGTTGAGTGCCATGATTAACTACGTGTGTGGTAGTTAGTGCCATGATTAACTACATTATTGTTGGTTGAGTGCCATTAACTACGTGTGTAACTACGTGTGTGGTTATGATTAACTACGTTAGTGTGGTGTTGAGTGCCATGATTAACTACGTGTGTGGTAGTTGAGTGCCATGATTAACTACGTGTGTGGTAGTTGAGTGCCATGATTAACTACGTGTGTGGTAGTTGAGTGCCATGATTAACTATGTGTGTGGTAGTTGAGTGCCATGATTAACTACGTGTGTGGTAGTTGAGTGCCATGATTAACTACGTGTGTGGTAGTTGAGTGCCATGATTAACTATGTGTGTGGTAGTTAACAGTGCCACAATCAACGACGTGTGTGGTAACTGAGAATATAAAATTATGTCCTAAATTATATCAGCTGTGGGCGTGGTCAATGTGTTATGACCTCTGATGATGTAACAGCCCTTTCGTAACACAGTATAGATGACGTAACAACCCATGCGTGGCACACTGTACCTGTAACGCTGATATATTTAATTAGGATAATGTTCACTCACCTGTAGATAAGACTACGTGTGTGTGTGTGTGTGTGTGTGTGTACAGCAGGCGTTCATTTTATCATTAAGAAAAGATTAAAACTTTTTCCCCGTGTCGCCGGAAGACTTTTGTGTAGTCATATATATTTTGTAGTTTAGAAAGTATAAATTTAGATGTATAAAGAAAAAGTTTATAAGTACCAAGACACCGATTGTTTCATGTCAGTTTATATATGAAATAAAAAAGTAAGGATTAATATTGTTTATTTTATTTATTTATTTAATTAATTATCTTGACTACACTTATC